TAAATTTCCCTCCCCTCGACATGTCCTTTTTCAAAGACTATTCAACTCAATTGTCTTCTCAGGCATTGAGTAGACATGTTGGCGTCACATAAACACCCTGACACCAGACTACATCGCTGCAAAACCAAACTAGGAGGGATATTTCACATAGACATCCTCCTGACACCAGACTAAAACCAAACTAGGAGGGATATTTGGTGTGTAACGTCTACAAAGGGTAGTGGATTATGCGTCACGCGCGGGACTCGAACCCGTGACATGCACTAGCATGATTTCGACGATCCGTAGCTACGAGGTTCGTTCACCAGCTACCCTCGACTCCACTGTACTCTTACCAGTATTCTCAGTAAGACATAAATAAAACCCAAAAACGTTTTTGAACCATTTTAATGTCGGGAAGTAGATCAAAGAAATGTCTGGAACGTTCGCAAAGGACTCACGCTTGAGAGGTAGCTCGGTGAGGTTGAGACTACGACCACGTTCCTCAAAGGGGCTCATATTTAGTATGAAAAATTTCCTTTTAAACCTTCACATAAGTTATCGTCTTTCTAGCGCCGTGTCTTTCTTCAGCGAATTTCATAATGCATTAATCTGCAATTCTATTTTCCGTTAAATATTTAAAAAAAAACGTTTTTATTTGGTGTTTCGTCTGCATTTGATTCATTTGAGGCTATTTGTGGGGACTCAGAGAATGTGTGTAGCGTAACTTGGTCCTCATTTATATTTTACGCATGTTAGGTGTTTTTGTTTTTAGCCGACTTCAAAAAAGGACTCAATTCGACTGAATATATCACGCCAACCGATTTCGATGATTATTGTTTTTAGTGTACATTAATTTGTTTTGGATTTTTTTTCAATTTTTTTTTTGTTAAAGCCTGTCTATTTACAATGATTATATAATTTTTTTCACATTTATAATGACGATCTTGTTAGAATCAGAACTGAAACGTGTGAATACTTTGTTGACAAAACAATCATGCTGTTTGTTTTGTTAAAAGCAAAGAAATGAACTAAGCACTGCTTAGAGCCTATTTAATAAAACGTGTATGTTTAAATTTAATAAATCATTGCTCGATTAACTAGGCGTCCTACCACAATTAAAAAAAAACCTGTTTTTAATCCCACAAAACGCTGCTACAAAATTCTAGCCATGAATGCATAAAAGTTTATCGTTTTTTATAACGTTGAATAATTTTTAATTTCGTTTTGTTTATTTTCCTTTGGACTAGATCAGCGTTCCCTTCCCTACTACGTTTGCCGCTAGAGGCATTGTTCCAACTATATACAAATTTGAGTCAACTTTTACACGATCGACTTAAAAAGTTAAAAAGCTCGCACTAAGCACACAGGGCTGTTCAGGCAACATTTCACAAAAGTACATCAGAAAATAGTTTTGTATATAAATAGTTTGGATAATAGAATTATTCGTCAAAAGATATAATCAATATTTGGTTATCTTTATTCTTGTAACATTCCATTCCCATGACATAATTTAAAAGTGAAGCTATTTTTTACTATTATTTGGGGAATTCCCGAAAAGAATTTTGTTTTTGTGAAAATATATTATTCTCCTTTTTTTAGTATATTTTTTTAGTACATTTAATTAATCCACAAAGGTATATAGCTTATACTGCCCTGAACTGCATTAAAATAGTTCTTGTGCTATGTATAATATATTTCATTCTGTATTAATACAAATCAGTTTTTGGTTTAAGCGACATTTTTGCAGCTTTACAGGGGAGCCATTTAAAGTTTACAATTTAAATAAATATCAAACAACAACAAAACGTATTTAGCTATTTGAATGAGGTAAACATAATTTAAAGTTCAATTAAAAACTTCGAATTGGAGATGATACTAATACTAAAAAAACGGACCTTTAAATACAAAGATAAGCGAAATGAAAGTAGGCTAAGTTACTCCTTATATCAGCTACCTATCAGCGAAAGTCCCGTCAAAATCAGTCCAGCCGTTCCAGAGATTAGCCGAAACAAACAGACAGATAGAAACGACAGACAGTCGAAAATTGTAAAAAATGTTATTTTGGTGTATGTGCCGTATATATATTCATATGCATGTAGTAAAATGCTGTTATTTCAATACTACAAACAGACACTCTAATTTTATTTAAACACCGCATGTATTTTTAATTTAACATTTTTTTTATCAACAAAACCGTATATTTTTATAAATAGCTTATTTTCTTTTTAATTTATTATTTATACAATCAATAGAGAACAATTTACCCTATTAAAAAAACGCCCTAACCTCGCTCGAAGAAAGACTCTGCACTTGAGAAATATCCGAAAATAGGTATCACAACATTTTATTATTAACTTGAAAATCCTTTGCTTAAAACCTGTTCAAAAAAAGAAATAAGGCACAAACACAAACACAATAATTGAACACTTAAATAACGAAAATTTTAGATTAATAAAAGCTCTGTTATAGCCTCGTTACGGTGTCTAGTGTCCATTGTAATATGAAACTCGCAATACACAAAAACTACAAATTTTAACAATCTATTATGGCATTTATTCCAACAGTATAGAGTTTATTTTAATTTAAATATCTAAGGTAAAAACAGCCCGTGTTAGATACTCTGTTAATAGTTTCATTACATCAGAACACGAGACACGCTATTTTATGAATAAAAATAAATAGTTACGAGACGAAAGCTTTTTTTGGATGGTAACATAACCGATTCTATTTTAATATCAAATTGAAATTACAAAAAAAAAATCGTATCTCTTTGAAAGTACATAATTCTATTTAATTAATTTTAATGTCAATCAGCAATGGACATTAAAATTATTCAATGTTAAATTAAAACTAAATATACCCCCTCATTTCAAAAAACGCAAAGATCTCGTCTCGTCTTTAAATTTGTAACGCAGACCACATAATCTATAGACATATCCATGTGAATTTTTTGTAACATGCATTATATATAAAACTTTTATTGAGAGGATTTTTACTAAAATTTATAGATAAACTAACAAAACTTTTAAATTGTTTTAATTTTTTTTTTTAAATTAAATATTTAATAATTAAAAGTCAGCCTTTAACAACTTTTAACACAACCAATCTTAAACAAGTTGTGTTTACACCATTTAAGTTAATTGTTAATGTGTGTAGAGTTTGTCCAGTTAAGTGAACCTAATAAATATAGAAAAAATAAAGAGTTTAGAAGACGCAAACCGTCTCTGGGTTTAGGGACAGACCAGACAGTAAGTAACTGGCCAGGTTGTAGCAAATTATTACTGGCACATAAAGTTTCATTGTGACTACTATTAACACAACAATAGTTCAGAGCACCAAATAAAAGACATGCCCCCATATCTATCTCTCTGTATGAAATTATTTATCCCTGAATTTATGAATTATAATGCACTATTTGCCTGGTCTAGCCGAAATAACGCCAATGAATAGAAAAAGAAAGAGTGCCAGATATGCTGAATTTTGTTTTCAATATCAATATTTAGCCTTTTTTTAAATAAATCTGAGGTTACAAAAACAAAGCTACCTAAATTTATTTGGAAAAAAGTTGACAATTTGTTTTTGTATGAGGATAAGCAAAGGATTATGTGGTTGATAAATTACAAGGCTTCGANGTCTAGCCGAAATAACGCCAATGAATAGAAAAAGAAAGAGTGCCAGATATGCTGAATTTTGTTTTCAATATCAATATTTAGCCTTTTTTTAAATAAATCTGAGGTTACAAAAACAAAGCTACCTAAATTTATTTGGAAAAAAGTTGACAATTTGTTTTTGTATGAGGATAAGCAAAGGATTATGTGGTTGATAAATTACAAGGCTTCGATAATTTTTATGTACAACGAAATTTAAAATCTGCCTAAAATCACTAGTACACAAAGGAAATTATATTAATGAGACGTCCACTGTCGTCGGTTTGAATGAACCTGCTTTCACCGATCACCACTTGTGTTTGATAGGCAAAGCAACTGCATTTTACTATTTGAAAGATGGCTAAAGGGGTTTTGATAGAGAGCTTGAAAACACACAAATAAAAATATACAAAAACTGAACAGTAAATTTTGTGTAGTATAGGATATGTGCAGATTTTTAAATTAATCGAGTCTTGAATTTTGTGTAAATGATTTTGAAAGATATCGTAACAAACATAAATATATGGAATCAAACTTATAATCGCATATTGTAAATCAATTAAAATATGTTATGAGTTTGTAAATAAAACACCTAATTTTGTTCCAATGCAAACAATACTTGGGATTTTATAAACAGTATATAAATCAGTTATGTCACATTACATAAATAATTTCACAAATAAACATAAACCAAGCAAAAATTCTATCACAGAAATCTATTTTTGCATTATTCTAGTATCCACCCTCTCAATATAAAAGTCAAGACAGTTTCTGTGCTGTGGAATAGTTCTGATCATCAAATAATCGTCCATTGTCAATGTGAACCAGAGAATCTATGGCAAGGTTGCGTATGTACTTCATCCGTAACTTACAAAAATCATGCCAAGAAGAGGCAGCTTAAATGCAAAAGATCTCCCAATAAACAGATCATACATATACACATAACCTTACTTATGGAGATATAATCCGGCCCTATTAAGAACTACGGTGTGGCCCTCTATTAAAGCATTCGGATTATTTGATTAAATAATACAGTTAATAATGTAAATAAAATAAGGCATTTTAGTCAAATAAATGTTTGACATAAGTTTCCAGATTCGATAGGTTGAGTGGTTAAGATGTACAACTGAAACCAATATACTCACTAGGACTTTTATATTCTTATAATATGATATGATTACTGAAAAGTTATCTGCTTGTGGTCCATACCAGATAAGACTATTAATAACCAGCATTCTTGGATATCATGGCACATACACAACTGAGCAAAACCAATTTCTCACCGTAGACGCGAGTAGTGAAGCTATAGATTAGATCACTCTCCACAGCACTGAGACCGAATGACTATTTAATATGGAAACAATAGCCTACCTTTTTTCTTCTTGTCCTCATTTTTCTGGGCAGCCTTGCTAGTAGTCGGTTTGCCTCTAGCATCTTTTTTGATGACCTTCACCTTTTTGACGGAAACAGTTTTAGTTTGAGCCGGGGCCTTCCTTTTGACGGACAGCTGCGGGCTTGCCAGCAACTCCATAAGGTTAACTGTTTCTTTTTTCGGTTCTTTACTGGCGAATGTGGTAAGCGGCTGATCCACTGAAAAAGTTTACAGTTCATTTTTAATTATATTAATCGGTTTTTTAGGGTTTAATGTTTACTAGATGACCTTTGCTCGGTTTTTTTTTTTGATAACGCCATCTTGTTGTGTCTTTAAAGCGGTTAGTTGCCTTCAATTAAGAAAAATAGTAGTATTATTTGCCAATAGATGTCGGGAAGAGTTGATTATTGAAAACACGAAAATAAATCGTAGCTAGATCGATTTATCGCCCCCGAAATCCCCTGTATACTAAATTTTATGAAAATCGTTGGAGCCGTTTCCGAGATTGAGATTATATATATACAAAAATTGCTTGTTTAAAGGTATAAGATTGTTAAATGGCAATAGAAATAATTACAATAAACTAGCAACCTTAAAAGATAGGGTTGTAATGGGAAGATTTATGATTTTAATTTAAATGTGCTTTGAAGTTAACTTTTGCAGGTAATAATCAAACTTAAAACAGTTCTTTTTTGTGCAACTTTCAGTCGCGGAGCTCAAAGATATTCAAAGTTGTGGCAACAAAAATATAACTGACATATCCCGCTTCAAATAAGCTCAAAGGAGGTATTGAGCAGTAGGTGATTTGACAGCACGACAGCTATTCCATAGCTTCCACGGTGAAGGAATAACATCGTGTAATAAAAATCAAATCCGCAAAATTATAATTTGCGTAATTACTGGTGGTAGGACCTCTTGTGAGTCCGCACGGGTAGGCCGTGAAGCAGTAATGCGTTTCGGTTTGAAGAGTGGGGCAGCCGTTGTAACTATACTGAGACCTTAGAACTTATATCTCAAGGTGTGTGGCGCATTTACGTTGTAGATGTCTATGGGTTCCAGTAACTACTTAAGACCAGGTGGGCTGTGACCTCGTCCACACATCTAGGCAATAAAAAATAAAATAAAAGCTACGCCACCAGATGGACTGTCCATTTATCTGCCTGCGAAAGAAATCAAATATATAAACAACTTACTATCATCATCATCATCATCATCATCACCAAAGTCCCGACTGTCAAACTCATCATCACTGAACTGCCTCTCGATTTTTACTTGTTCGACCTTCACCCGTTTATCCGTTGAGCTTGTTTGTACTGTCAAAGCAAATGCATTTTAAAAATACAGGATGTTGTAAATGTCGAAACCCAACTCAGTATTAGGGGGACTTATTAATTAGATTAGTTTCTATCATGTTTTATTTTATTTGAAACAGAATTGTAAACTTTAGGACAGGCGTTTGGTAATAAGTATATTTATATAAACACAAGTACCACACCCGTGCCGTGAAGAAGTAATGCATTTTGGTTTGAGGGGTGGAACTTTGGTTTGAACCTTAGAACTTATATCTCAATTTGGGTGGCGGCATTTACGTTTTGCATATTTATGGGCTCCAGTAACCACTTCCCACCAGGTGGGCTGTGAGCTTGTTCACCCATCAAAGCAATAAAAACAAACAAAAACTAACTACTTCACTGAAGTCTGACTCTTGTGAATCAGAATTAACGTTTCTTTCATATCTTTTATAGAAATAATATGCATACTGGAACCTGTAGTCATTAAAATGGCACCAGCCACATTAAGACAAAAGGAAAGCTGATTTGTGGTCATATAGGTATTTTTGTTTAATTTTAACCAACCTTCTGATTCCAAAGTGGTCGAACTATTGCCAGGGTCCAAGTATTGCATAAAGGTCTTCTCGCACTCCTGCACCTGCTTCTTAAAGTCTGAAGCATCTCGGAGACGGGATATGCATGGTTCGCAGATAAGACGGCTGTTGCTGTTTGGACCGCCTGACTTTGAGTATGCAATCTAGCGGAAGAATATTTATATTGATTTCACATGTCGTCTTTTCGCATTAAAAGTGTACAATTTCCAAAAATATTCGAAATTGAGTTAATATGCAAAATCATTAGGTATCTCCAGTATTTTTCTCATAAATACTGTTAAAAGGGCGTAGTTTAGTTTCAGTTTTTTTAGGTTACCTATATTTTGACTAGTACATATTAACAAAATTAATACATAATTTTATCTTACTTTAAATGACAAATTATGTAACTGGTAAAAACTAAAAAATAATCTTGCAAAGATGATTAATATTAAAAATATCATATGTTAAACCTTTAAAACACTCTCCTGTAAAATTTTATAAGTTTTGGGATTATACAGTTTTAATGCGAGAGGACAATGTATCCATTTCATTTTTCTATATAATGTTACAAGTGTGTTCTTGTCTAAGTGTTTTCATGTCTCTTTTATACTTATATTTAGCATATTATGTACTTATTTTGGTGTCAATGCTATGATTTCCTGTAACTGAGAAAATTCAGATGCTAAGAACTATCAACTCTTTAATAATATTTGTAAGATGCATATCGTCGCTGGCAAACCAAAATCTGCTATATGCAAAAACTCTATTTTGAATTAACGAGTAAAAACATTTTCGTATAAAATTTTATATGAAGGTGAATTTTTAAGAACTAAATCAAATGAAAGCTATAGATAGATCTAAATCTATAAACACATAAAAGTTTTTTTATACGGTAGATAGGGCTCTGAACTATACAAAAAGGTTAAAAAGTAAAAATCTCAAAAAGTGCACATAGCAGATTTTGGTTTGACAACGACAATATACTCTGCACGGAACTCATATTATACAGGGTATCCCAAAAAAGTTATATCAAGTCAAAATGTGACTATGGTATATAATAATTCATCTCAAATAATTACAGTGTGTAAGCTGCACAGTCGCTTTCCACAATGCTTTAAAGGAAACTATGTCACAGAGATGAATTGTCCCATAGAGTTTACCGATATTGATATACAAGGTATCCCAAAAAGGGTATGAAACCGAAATGTGGCTATAGTGTCAACTGAGACGTAATTAATAGTTAACACAAAAACTTGCAGATGAAAAAATTTAAGAATTTATGCAACAAAAGTCCTGGTGAACCTTTCATTCATTAATCAAGTCAGAAAGACATTGATAAAATGGTATCAGTTGAACTATCACGTTTGCTGCTTTTTCATAGGACTTCAGATTTCCGAAAACAGTGCAACTTATATTTATTCAATGTTGTGTATGCAATAAAATTTACCATTTAGTACTCTTTATTGCCTAATTATTTACTTGGGAACAGAGGTTTTTAATCGAATCGATTAATATAATTGAACATTATCTAAAGTTTTTAATGCCCGTAGTTAGACACCCTTCTTAAATACAAATAACAGATACATAGATGAACACAAAACAATACCATACCAAAACAGTACCATTTTGTCTTAGGTTTATCATTGCAACTTTTTTTGTCTTGTTATTTTGTTTTATCAATTGATGATCACACTAACAAACTGTGAATTGGCATTTACTGATGTTATGGCTTATCGTAAGCATTCACGAGTAACTACTACTATCCTGCCTATTGCTGCTGATAAGCCATCATAAGCCCTGCTTTGAAGGGTGGGACAGCCATAATCATTACAACCTGGCATAACAAGGTAGGCGTCCTTTACGTTGTCACATGAGCTCTGGTACCAATTTAACATCAGATGAATTAGGTGAAATCCTATGCCATAAAACAAAAAAAAAAAATTTTTGGAGCTTTCATGCTTTTTTTATTCATTGTACAGGCAATTTAGCGCACGGCATACAAGTGAGTATACGCCAAAGAAAACCCTTATAGTTAAATTTATCAAGTTCAATTTCAAAGTTCATACTAATTCAAATTTTTGCAAACTGTAAATCAGTTTACATCGATTTTGATAGCCGACCATTTTAAAAATCACTGATCGCAATGTTTCCAAACACAACGTAGAGCAGTTTCATGCGGTCGGGTTATAACAAAAAAAAGTTCATTGCAATATAGACGCCATTAAAACAATGAATTACATTCAGATATTTCACTTACGGAGACACTGAAGGTTTCTGCTAGCATCTCAGCGTAGACTTCCCTCTTTCCCATCCAAAAATATTCAGTGGAAATGTCTTTGTAACAGCCCTCGGCGAGACAACACCGACAAACCGTGGGCCCGGGTCGCCATTCACTTGTTTTATCAGCCATTATCACAAAATTATCACTAAACTTACATTTAAATATTACCACATAGTTTAAAGTAAAGCTTAATGTTATTTACAAGTTTAGAACTATGCTAACTAGTTTTTCTTTTTTTATTGACGAAAATTATTACCGACGCCATGAAGCTAGCGGGCGCGCGGTGACCTAGTGTTGCCAACAACAAATTAATGAAAAAAGGCGGAGGCTACCATGTGAAATTTTTCTATTCTCCCATTTAATATTTAATAAAAACCCCATTTTAGTATTCTTAACACATCATGATAAACAATTTATGAATGATATATTAAGTATCGAAGTAACACAGGAAAAAACGTTAATTCAATTGTTAGAGAGATAAAGAGACAAAGAATATAGGTACTTTATTGTACACCAAAACAAGTTTAACATTAAAAAAAACAGTCAACTAGTAAATATAGTTGTACAATAGACGGTCTTATCGCTAAAAGCGATATCTTCCAGGAAACCTTTCTATTTACAGAAATTCTGAAAAGATAAAAATACAGTAGGTATACCACAGTGTACTATTTATTAAAAATCCATTATTAAAGAAAATACATACATACAATTAGTAGATCAGATATAGACACACTGTGTTTACACTTAATATCAAGTCACTATATGATTTACTAGCGGCCGGCCCCGGCTTCGCTTGGGAAATAGCGCACGCGATGTAAAGAATTTTAGGTAATTTTTTTACACATTGGGTTACATTATTGGAAGTTCAGTAAGGATCCCTAATTTTTTTTTTTAAATATAATAAATATAGCCTATGTCACCCGGGATACCGTAGCTTTCCAACAGTGAAAGAATTTTTTAAATCGGGTCAGTAGTTGCGGAGCCTATTCAATACAAACAAACAAACAAATCTTTTTTCTTTATAATATTAATATAGATTTAAACATACTAATATACTTACCTACACATAATAAATCAATATTCAATCAATATTACTGATGGTGAAGTCAAAATAAAACTGAAATTTCAAATTTATCTCTACGCTGTTTGATCCCGACCGTGAAATATACTCGAGAGTAAAAAAAACATATAAATCTCGAAAAAATAAGAATGCTAGCTTAATGAAATTACTTGTTTGTAGCACTATTAAATACTCCTTAAATTAAGGAATTAAAACTTCTTAGTTACTGCATAGCTATGTCATAAAAAAATCAAAATTGAAAAAGGGAGACTTTCGAAAATGGAACTACGAAACTACTGCTTTTGTTTTTATTCTGTCACTAGCGGCCCGCTCCGGTTCCGCTCGGGTTTTTAACAACAATTTCAACGATATTTGACGTTGTTTTATTTTTTAAAATAAAAGAACACTTGTTACGGTATAACTATAATAGTTACATATAATATGCTGTCGCGACACTTTTTGTAAATAATAATGTGTACTACAAAGTCGAAGTACATTATTTTATTCTGTCATCAATAGTTTTCGCAGGGCATGCGATTTAAAGAATATTTTAGGTAATTTTTTTACACCTTGGGTTACATTATTGGAGTTTTGGTAAGGATCCTAATTTTTTTCAAAAAAGATTGTAGCCTATGTCACTCGGGAATAGTCTAGCTTCCAAATAGTGAAAGATTTTTTCAAATCGGTTCAGTAGTTTCGGAGCCTATTCAATACAAACAAACAAACAAATCTTTCCTCTTTATAATATTAGCATAGATTTATGTAAGTGACTATATAAACCATAATTGATAGTGTTCAATATTTATTAATCAACCCGTAATCATGTCGCTTACAACTGATTGAATGCACCAGAATCCTCACAATGCTGGAAACCGCCAGAGTAAGCGTGATACAGCCAGGACTGTCGGTGTCGCTGTCAACAGTACAACGACTTCTCCGAAGTTACGAGAAAACTGGCTCTAACCTACGTAGCCCAGGAACAGACAGAACTAGGTGTACCACAGTACGAGAAGATCGATACGTACTTGATGAACACCATGCTTCGTAATCGCTTTCTCACAGGAACTGTGTGCTTAGTGCGAGTTTTTTAACGCTCTCCATAGCGTAAGAGTTAACCCAATTTTGTATGCAGTTGGAACTGTATTGGAACAGCGCCTCTAGCGACAAACGTAGGCAAACGATCCCATTCCATACAAATATGAGCTAACTTTTACGCTATCGAGAACGTTCAAAAACTCGCACTAAGCACACTGAACTTACAAATCAGTTTCGACGTCTCGGAGGAAGTAACCCAAGCGCATGGACAGTAAGCCGACGACTTACTGAAGCTAACTTGAAACCACTTAGACTTGCAAATGGCCCTAAACTGGAGCGTGGTGATCGTATTTCGAGACTAAGAATTGCAGATTGGTTTGAAGATTGGTCGAAAGCTATGTTCTCCGATGAATCAAAATGGATGCTCTACAAACACGATGGCAGACACACGACTCAAATTTGTATGTAGGTACGTTTGCCTACGTTTGCCGCTAGGGGCGCTGTTCCAACTGCATACAAAGTCGAGTTAACTTTTACGCTATCGAGTACTTAATAATTTCAATAATGTTTTTGTGTTAACGAGTCCGGCGTGTTGGTGAAAACTGTAAGCCTGACTTTGTATTGAATGGAATAAATAAATAAATAAATATCCTAATACATGTCTCACTCAGTCTCATGCGCGTGGATAATGCCCTCGCGCTCTTACCCACAGAGGTATTAAATTGAATTTAGGGGATGATTGGCCCCTTCGATCGGTCTGTCTTTTTGTAGGAAATTTTAAAATAGTATATAAAAATCAGCTTTCAGAATTTACGTGAAGTTAGGTCATTATTTTGGGAGCTTTAAAGCGTCTGCAAAGAAATTCGGCCGACGGAAAGTATCTGGGAGTATTGACGACTTATTTTTAAGGATATTACCTAAAGTATACGTAAAAATCAGCTTTCAGAATTTACGTGAAGTAGGTCATCATTTTATGTACCTTGAGTACCTGATACCTGAAAATTGACCGTCTAAGCAAGGTAGCAGGTAGGCATGCGTTCTTAGTACATACTAACACATTTCGTTCGTCAGAAAATACGTGACGTCTGGGGGCCCTTGGACCTTGGACTATGGTGGACGTCGCTCGTTGACACTTTTGACGTTCCGAAATCAAACAATAAAGCCTTCGTCAGACAGAACGCGTAATTAGCGCGCGTCAGAGCGCTAAATTGACGCCGCGCTATGACGCCGAGATGTGTTGTACTACTATGGTAACATACCATCACACAGAGCACCAGCGCTATAAGTACGCAGCGCTATGTCGTGGCGTTAGAACGCTTTGACGTCAGGCGTTGTAATTTTTTACAAATTTTATTTTAGCGTCGGAGTGAATGTGTATTAAAATAGTAGATAATGCCCGAAAAAATGATATAAATAGTTAGAAAATATCCATGCTTATACAATGCCACATCTGAATCACTCGATTTCTTAATACTTTTATATTTTCACATTGCTATCGAAAGGCACTATGATTTGGCGAATGCGTTGCGTCAAGGAGGGTTGGGCTCATCTAGTCAATTTGTGTGACATGAAAAGAGCGCGACGTTAAGTACGCGACGCTAATTACGCGTTCTGTTTGACGAAGGCTTAAGATTTAAAGGCGCTCTGAATCCAAACGATCAACTACTTAGTCTGGCCATAAATACTGTTACAATTAAAAATAAACAAAATATTACATTTGAATTTGGAATCTGTCATTTTTATATGAGTGCTTATTGAGTTTTCTCATTTTGGCGCCAATACATTGTACAATATTTTGCGATATTAAAATGGAGTGGGGTGATAAAGAGAACCGAATCGCTGTGATTGCATTACACAAAGTAGGTATGGAGCCAAATGCAATTATTAAAACTCTCCATACGCTTGGTATTAGTAAAATGTTTCTGTACCGGGCTATTAATATGTGTAATGAGACCTCCTCTGTTTGCGACAGAAAAAGATCTGGCCGTCCACGTAGTGTTCGTACGAAAAAGGTGGTCAAAGCAGTAAGGGAAATAATTCGAAGAAATCCGGTCCGAAAGCAAAAGATTTTATCTCGGGAGATGAAGATAGCAGCTAGAACCATTTTTTTTTTTAAGTAAATATTTACTAACAATCACGCCACGTTAACTGGTCCCGTGGTAAGTTCGTAAAGAACTTGTGTTACCAGATAACGGAAATAAATGTAAGATTTTTTATTATACACATACACATATTTAATATACATCCATAACCCTGGAAAAGACTTTTATATTTATCATACAAATATCTTCCCTTGGCGGGATTCGAACCCGCGACCCCCTTGTGTAGTGACCATTTCACTTACCACTACACCAGACGGCCGTTTTAAAAGATGACTTAGGACTTGCAGCCTATAAGAGACGTACTGGTCATTTCTTAACTGATAATTTAAAAGAGAATGATAGTAATATCGAAACAACTACTGAAGTGGTACGCAAAAGGAGGTCATAGAAAAATTTTGTTTACGGATGAGAAATTTTTTACAATTTAGCAACATTTTAACAAACAAAATGACCATATTTATGCTCAAAGCTCTAAGGAAGCTTCCCAATTAGTCGACAGAGTGTAACGCGGGCACTATCCGACTTCAGTGATGGTTTGGTGGGGTATTAGCTATGAAGGAGTGACTGAGCCATACTTTTGTGAAAAAGGCCCGGTCACCGTTCGACGACGTGTAATGAGTAAATTAACCCACAGACACAACCCACTGAGTTTCTCACCGGATCTTCTCAGTGGCTCGCGTTTCCGATCCGGTGGTAGATTCTGCGAAGCACGGCTCTTGCTAGGGTTCGTGTTAGCAACGTCGTCAGGTTTGAGCCCCGTGAGCTCACCTACTAGTTAAGGTTACGCTGGAATAGTCTCTCAAGGTTACCAGCTTAGGTAGGGAAAAAATATATGGAAAAAGGTATCAAAACATCGGCACAAGTGTATCAAGATACCATTCTTGAGAAGGTAGTGAAGCCCTCAACAATACCATGTTCAATAATCAAGAATGGTCCTTGTTCATATTTTATATTTATGTATTAAACTAACACACTGTAAAAGTAATGAATGTTATTTGCAATAGATATTTTTTTTCCTTTGTCTCAGTATTTATGGCAAGACTATAGTAGAATTATTTTGTCCGTGCAGTTTGGGTCATAAAACATACCCGACTAGGGCGGTCAGTATGTTGCGCGGGCGCAACGCCATTTTCGATAAAAACAAACGAGTCATCGAAGGCAGGTACACGGCGACGGGGTGCTATGCGAAAGGTGATGAGACATTGTTATGTTATGAGTCATTTGTTGTACCTTCCTGCAAATTATAGTACGTATGTCGAAGAGAAATGTGATGTTGTGCATTCGTTCTCTGAATTTCTTTAGTGACACAATGGCTACTCCTTTGTTTTGTACTAAAACGGCAGAATTTATTCAAATATTTCGCTTGTTGGCAAAAATATACCAACACAAGCACGTGTTAAATGTTTTCACTGAAATGAGAATAGATCCCGAAAAGTTACAAAGTGTTAATGTCGTCGTGGCCTAAAGGATAAGACGTCCGGTGCATTCGTTGTTGCGATACACCGGTGTTCGAATCCCGCAGGCGGGTACCAATTTTTCTAATGAAATACGTACTTAACAAATATTCACGATTGACTTCCACGGTGAAGGAATAACATGGTGTAATAAAAATCAAACCCGCAAAATTATAATTTGCGTAATTACTGGTGGTAGGACCTCTTGTGTGAGTCCGCACGGGTAGGTACCACCGCCCTGCCTATTTCTGCCGTGAAGCAGTAATGCGTTTCGGTTTGAAGGGTGGGGTAGCCACTGTAACTATACTGAGACCTTAGAACTTATATCTCAATGTGGGTGGCGCATTTACGTTGTAGATGTCTATGAGCTCCAGTAACCACTTAACACCAGGTGGGCTGTGAGCTCGTCCACCCATCTAAGCAATAAAAAAAAAAAAGACCACACTAATTTTCATCTCCACTCGCTGTAAACCAATGTCCCAAGGTTTTAAATTAAGCAATAAAAAAAAAAACTGCCGTTCTCATTAATTTGCTGCGGCGATATGTGGTGTAAGTGTTCGATTAGTGATTTTTTCTTTCATTTTTATGACTAACCTACAAAATGACAAAACTAAATACACTATCGATAACACTTATCGACAACAATAATGCGCATCACTATGCCCGTCCATAAGGCTCGTGAGTGGAAGAGAGAGCGAAATACTCGCTGCACCGCTCCGATTTTTTAAGACCCAAGCTGCACTGACAAAATAATTCTACCATAGGTGTATTGCACATTAGTACGAACTGCACAATGTTTTCGTGTTTTTTTTTCTTTTATTGCTTAAGTTGGTGGACGAGCTCACGGCCCAGCTGGTGTTAAATGGTTAACGGAGCCCATAGACATCTACAATGTGAACCTCCACGTACCTTGAGACAATATAAACCGTCACCTGCCTTCAAACAAAAAGTTCTAAGGTCTCAGTTATTGCAGTACAACGGCTGCCCCACCCTTCAAACCGAAACGCATTACTGTTCCACGACAGTAATAGACAGGCTGGTAAGGCCTACCCGTGCGGACTTACAAGACGTCCTACAACCAGTAAAAAGTGTTATAGTTATGCGAGTAACATTCTACTGCAGAGGTGAAAGCTACTCTTTTTAGAGCATACTGCCAGTCTTTCTACACGTGCAGCCTATGGGTTAAGTATACCAAGAAATCCTACAACGCCCTGCGTGTCCAGTATAATAACGCTTTCAGAGCGCTGATGTGGCTGCCGCGTCACTGCGGTGCGTCGGGGATGTTTGCGGATGCGCGAATAGATAGCTTCGAAGCAATCATTCGTAAGCGAATTGCTTCCCTAATTCGCCGTGTGCGGGTCAGTCGCAACCGCTACCTACGGCTGTTCGCCTCACGGATGGATCTGGACTGCCCAATAATGCAACACTGGACACGTGTGCATTTTGAGCACTCTGGATCCAAACCAGCCTTTAGGTTAAGGTACTTTTCATGTTAATTTAGAGTTTTTGTTTTATTATTATTATTATTCGATTTTTTGTTTTTATTATTATTATTATTGTTTTTGTTTTAGTCCAAGATTAATTATTATTTTTATTTAATTTTAGTATAAATGAAATGTTAATGCAATGTAAACGAAGACGTGTAATATGGATGTAAAATCTGAAGTAAATTAAATAAATAAAATAAATTGTCAAGACGAATTGAAAAATATTGCCCTAAGCTGACCCTACATGATGCAATGAAAAAATATGGTGCAATAAAAATTAAACTAGGTCAAAGTTTCGTATAATCATTGCACAATGTTCAATATTAACCCTAAACAGTCAATAATCTTTCTCAACAACTTCGGTTCCCTCTGTATTTTGTACCGCATGTTCCATGGGGAGTGCTCTGAGGAGTTGTTCGAGATGATATCAACGTCTCGTTTTTACCATCGCACCGCCCGCCACCGGAGTAGAGTTCATCCATACTACCTGGAGCCACTGCGGTCATCCACAGTGCGTTTCCAGAGATCTTTTTTGCCACGTACCATCCGGCTATGGAATGAGCTCCCCTCCACGGTGTTTCCCGAGCGCTATGACATGTCCTTCTTCAAACGAGGCTTGTGGAGAGTATTAAGCGGTAGGCAGCGGNATTTTCGTTATTTTCAGCGTTAAATTAAAATTATAAATAATGGAGCTACAGTTCCGGGAGTTGGAACTTTTTTTTACTAAATTTCCTCCTCTTTAAGGATCTTTTTTTCAAATTTCGAAAATATTTATAGTTTACGGACAATAAGCCATAAACGAAACGCTATTTTTTGAAGGTGTTTAATTGTTAATAACTTTTGGAATTTTTTATGTGCTAATTCAATTTTTTAGCACAATGGTCTAGACATTATTCCGAATCGAATGAGCTAAACCACATAATTTTAGCAGTAGTATGTCGAATTAACACCATTTTTAACTTGTCGACTAGACTACTGGTCCGATTTGAAAAATTCTTTCAGTTGTAGATAACCCATTTATTGAGGAAGGCTATAACATCACGGTAAGACCAATACAAGTGGAGCACCAATAAAGAATGGTATGGGTCAAAATAGGGGTTTAAATAGCTCCTTAACCGTCTATAATTCATAAATATTTTCACTTTCTACGTAAATGAAGTAGAGGTAAAATTTAGTGTTATGCCAAAGTAACTATTTCACGCGGACGAAGTCACGGGCAAAAGCTAGTCATTTAATATAATATTTGTGTTAAATAAATCGTTTTTTTTTAAGACTCCGACCTTTCCACTTTAAACGGATACTAATGCAATGCTATCTACTATTATCTAAACGTTTTTTTGTTTCCCATCTTACCTTGGTTGCCTAGTTTATGCCGGCGAAGGTGAGCTTACGGGGCTCTAACCTGAGGACGTTGCTAACACTGGCCCTAGCAAGAGCAGTGCTTCGCTGAATCTACCACCGGATCGGAAACGCGACCCACTGAGAAGATCCGGGGAGAAACTCAGTGGGCTGTGTCTGTGGGTTAATTTATGACCGGTGCTTGTCGTACCAAAAAGCACCGTTAGTAGAGCGTGAGGATCACTTAAACCATAGATCAGTGTGCTTATGCAGTTGGAACAGCGCCCCTAGCGGCAAACGTACGCGAACGATACATACGAATACGAGCTAACTTTTACGCTATCGTGAACGTTAAAAAAACTCGCACTAAGCACACAGCTCTAACCTAGAACCTGGATATGCGCATATTCAAAAATCAAAACACATTTTTTAAATTTTTTTATATATTTATTTCTTTATTTTATCCGTACTCCGGGTGTTGACTCTTCATGTGCCCCTTGAGGCTGCAGTTCTGTATGAAGGCCTGCCCGCATATGTGACACCGGTAGCGTCTATCGTTCGTATGGATCCGCATGTGGTCCTTCAGGGTCTTGAGGCGAGGGTACGACTTCTCGCAGACCTTACACTTGAAGTTCCTCTCGCCCGTGTGCGTCGGCATGTGGTTGTTCAGAGCGAACCTCGTGAAGAACTTCTGACCGCAGCACTGGCATTCGTATCTGATTCAACGGACGGGAAGTTTAAGTTTCGTGTGACGTCATTTGGGGCTAAACCGTACTTGTTTACTTTTTTATGTTTTTTCGTTGCTTAGATAGATAGACGAGTTCATGACTAGTCTGGTGTGAAATGATTATCGAAGTCCATGGACATCTACAACGCAAACCCCATCGCCAATCTTGAGACATGAGTTCTCAGGTCTCCGTTTTTACAGTACAACGACTGCCCCACCTTTCAAACGGCAACGCATTACTGCTTCACAGCATAAATAGGCAGGGCGGTGTTATCTACCCGTGCGGCCTCACAAGACGTCCTACCACTAGTAAAACACAAAAATGTCGATAACAGCTCATCTAATACACAATGTTAATAGGATATGACATGACTTGTGGTATGCATTTAGGATTATACTACAGAATTAAAAAAAACTTATTTTTGATTATTTTTTTGCTTCGACTTATTCAGGATCTCAGAGTACATCTAATGATAAGCGGTTACCGGAGCTCATGGGTATCATAACGTGAACACCACCCCGAAACTTGAGGTGAAAACTGCTGTCAATTACCCTTTCTTCTTCTTCTTCATCGTTCCCTCACTGCTAAAGATCGCGACCACGTGGCGTCTTCTCGCATTAAAACTGTATAATCTCAAAACTTACTAAATTTTACAGGAGAGTGTTTTAAAGGTTTAACATATATGATATTTTTAATATTAATCATCTTTGCAAGATTATTTTTTAGTTTTTACCAGCTACCTACATTATCTGTCTTTTAAAGTAAGATAAAATTATGTATTAATTTTGTTAATAAAAAAAAAACTAAAACTAAACTACGCTCTTTTGACAGTATTTATGAGAAAAATATACTGGTGATACCAAATGATTCCGCATATTAACTCAATTTCGAATATTTTTGGAAATTGTACACTTTTAATGCGAAAAGACGATGTGACGTTCCTTCACAGTGTTCGATCATGGGCGGCACGGACCACACGGTACAGACTACTACTAAGCGCTTCCTTTACCAGATCTGACCATCTGGCTGGATTCTACCCATGATCTAACAACTGCCCTACCCTTCAAAAATCAGATAACACGACTGCTTCGCTGTAGAAATAGATGGAACAGTGTACAATACAAGAAGCTTTTTTACCCTACCTATGATGATAGCCTTGAGAGGCTATTTCAGTTTCTCCTTGACGTATACGTGAGCTCACGGGGCTTAAACCGGGAGTGTTGCTAACACTGGCCCTAACAAGAGCCGTGCTTCGCAGAATCTACCACCGGATCGGAAACGCGACACACTGAGAAGATACAGCGAGAAACTCAGTGGGCTGTGTCTATGGGTTAATTCGCCGAGGACAGTGACCTGTGCTGGTGGTACCTAAAAGCACCGATAATGGATCGGGAGGATCCGTAATGACGTGTTTAGGGCAACAAGAAGCCTTACATCATCAGTAAACGCAAATTTTCAATCGAAGCTAACACTGAACACCCCCGAAACAACTCTACGGATTTGATTTTTTTTTGCTAACATCATTTTATGTTCGTTTAAAAAAATTTATACCTGAAATCTTTCAAGTGGTCCTTCCTCCAGTGTATCGTGAGGGTGCGTCGCGTCTCGCATACTTTATCGCACATAGTGCAAGGAAACGACATGGGTTGCTCGCCGTGTACCTGTTGCGAAAAAAAAACAACAAAAATCTAACATTTTCTTTTGCATAAAAGTGTGGACGAGCTCATAAATAAAATCAAAGAATCTAAGCAATTAAAAAAAAAAAAATCATAGCCCACCTGGTGTTAAGTAGTTACTGGAGCCCATAGACATCTACGACGTAAATGCGCCACCCACCTTGAGATATAAGTTCTAAGGTCTCAAATATAGTTACAACGGCTGCGCCACCCTTCAAACCGAAACGCATTACTGCTTCACGGCAGAAATGGGCAGGGCGGTGGTACCTACCCGCGCGGACTCACAAGAGGACTCACTCCTACCACCAGTAATTACGCAAATTATAATTTTGCGGGTTTCACTTTTATTACACGATGTTATTCCTTCACCGTGGAAGTCAATCGTGAACATTTGCTGAGCACGTATTTCATTATAAAAATTAAAATATGTATATATAATTGTGTAAGTATTGTATGTAAGTATGTATATAAGTATATTAGTATATATTATATGTAAACGGTATATATCTGTTTATTATATGTATATATTTTCTATAATAATGTATTTATTGTCTATGGTACATCGCAACATATCTGCTATATTTTTATATTTTACAGAATTTCTGAAAATTAAACGGTTGTCTGGAAGAGATCGATTTTAGCGATAAGACCGCCTATTGTAAGTACAAATGTATCTGCTTTTTGACTGTTTTTTTGAATGTAAATTGTGTTAAGAAAATAAGCAACTCTTTTAGGTGGCTGGGTGTACAACTTTTCAACAAGATCCCACAAAACGTTCAATTACTACCTGTTCATAGATTTAAGAAAACTGTCAAGGAACGTTTGTGCAACAAGGCATATTATAAAGTTAAGGATTATTTACTAGATGGCACTACGTGGGAATGAGGCGCTCGCTCCTGGCTTTTTCATTTTTTATTGTTTTTTGTTGACTTGTTTTTTCGTTTATTTGTAAATATTTTTACTTATTAAAAAAAAAATGAGCAAAAAAAAAAACCCGCTGAGTTTGTTTCGCCGGTTCTTCTCAGGACTGTGGCTTTTTTTGGAAACGGTGGTAGAGTAAACAGTGTTATTTATATTTAGACATTCAACAAGTGTTTTATACTGACATCTAAGTTGAAATAAATGATTTTGAATTTGAATTGAATTTGTTGGTGTGCAATAAAGTGTATTCTCTCTCTCTTTCTCTATGATACCTCGACCAGATGCTTCAGCTTCTGCGGGTAGGACATGAGCTTGACGTCGCACTTCGGGCAGTAGACCCGGCCGCGCTTCCGGTGCACGCGATCCACGTGCAGGTCCCGGTTGTACTCCGCCTTGAACACCTTCCCGCAGCTCTCGCAGGGGAAGGCGCCCTGCTCGTGGCGCTGCTGGTGCATCACGAACCTGCCCTTGTCCACGAAACCTTGGGTAGGTACAGGTGTACCGTTAAAGCCTTGCGATCTTACGACTCATATCTCATGGTGGGTGGCGGCATTTATGTTGTACACGAAATGTTCACGATTGACTTCCACGGTGAAGGAATAACATCGTGTAATAAAAATGAAACCAGCAAAATTATAATTTGCGTAATTACTGGTGGTAGGACCTCTTGTGAGTCCGCGCGGGTAGGTACCACCGCCCCGCCTATTTCTGCCGTGAAGCAGTAATGCGTTTCGGTTTGAAGGGCGGGGCAGCCGTTGTAACTAAAGCTGAGATCTTAGAACTTATATCTCAAGGTGGGTGGCGCATTTACGTTGTGGATGTCTATGGGCTCCAGTAACCACTTAACACCAGGTGGGCTGTGAGCTCGTCCACCCATCTAAGCAATAAAAAATAAAAATAAAAAAACATTTCAATGGGTTTGCAATATTTGCTTACGTTTGCTGCTAGAGACGCTGTAGTCCAACTGCATACAAATCTGAGTTAACTTTTACGCTATCGAGAACGTTAAAAAACTCGCACTAAGCACTGTCTTTTATTTTTTTATTGGTTTGGTGGGTGGACGATCTCATGGCCCACCTGATGTTAAGTAGTTACCGGAGCCCATTGACATGTACAACGTAAATGTCGCCATCTACCTAGAGATATGAGTCATTTCATGAGAAAAATTTTAGCTTTGATAATTAAATATATTTTTACGGGGTATCCATATATATATGTATGTAATATTATTAACAATTTGGTTATTTTCGCAATAAGTAATGCACCTTTTTGCCACGTACCATCCGGCTATGGAACGAGCTCCCCTCCACGGTGTTTCCCGAGCGGTACGACATTTCCTTTTTCAAACTGTGCACCCCTGGCATTGCTGAAGTCCATGGGCGACGGTAACCACTCACCATCAGGTGGGCCGTGTGCTCGTCTGCCTACTAGGGCAATAAAAAAAAACCTACCACAAGATTATCTACACCATTCTTGGTTGAGCGGTAGAGAATGCTTCAGCCATTAACTCCGCCATTGTACCTTTGCACATGAAGCTGAATAAATAAATAAGCGACTCACCCAATCCGCAAGTTTCGCACACGTAATTACTGAAATGCTCGTTCATGTGTTTGTTCAGAGCGTGGAAGTAAGGGAACACGAGGTTGCACAGCGCGCATCTGATCTCCTCCTTAGTCAAACGGAACGGCAACACCGAGTCCTTATAGTCGAAGTAGTACTTCTTCTTGTGCGTCCCAGCGATGTGGCTCTTGAACTCGTCCAGATCGTCGATCCTCTGAGGGCACAGTCTGCAGTCGATCCTCGTCAAATCCACCTTGATCATGTTCTTGTGCTCGGTCACCTTAAACTTCTTCGGGTGGTGCTGGTTCATCGTGTGCTCCCGCATCAGACGCGGATCCGAGAAGTTCTCGCCGCAGTAGTAGCAGAGCAGGTGATTGTGTCGACATTTGAACGGGCACACGTACGAGAATTCGACTATGGTCAATATGTTCGTTTCGGTCATGTACGTTGGGTCTTTCTCTCTTATGAGCTGCTGTACCTTCGTCATCGGTATACCTGGGTGAGATGAATGAGTTTGAAGTTATTTTTGAAGCGTAACTTCTAATGCGACTTCCAACAAGGTTGATTTTTTTTCCTACCTAAGCTGATAGCCTTGAGAGGCTATTTCAGCGTAACCTTAACTAGTAGACACGAACCCTGGCTAGAGCAGTGCTTCGCAGAATCTACCACCGGATCGGAAACGCGACCCACTGAGAAGATCCGGCGAGAAACTCAGTGGGCTGTTTCTGCGGGTTAATTTACTCGTCGAGCCCTTCGTCGCAAGCGACGGACAAGGTAGAGTTAAACGTTTAACGCTACCATGAAATAAAAAGAGACAGTGAGAGTGAATACGTGGCACTCGAACGCATGCGCGTAGTATACCTGATACAGGCCAGCGCGAGCATTAGCAACGAGTAGCGTACAATATTTTAATGAACTATTTAAAATATATATATTTATTTTTCTATCTATAATTTAAAATATGTATATAATATAAATGTTGAAGATGTCGTATCTCTTACACACAGCATTCCCTATTACAAGAGTTGATTAGATTTAAGGATGAAAAATGAAGAAAACCACAATACTACACATCGAAAAAGAAGTTTCACTTCATTCACGTGCACCTAGTTGCACGCGCACCGTTTTTTTTTACTTCCACATCTTTTGCAGATATTGCTAAAATATTTTTGAAAAAAAAAGTGGGTGTTTTATAAAAAAATCTACAAAAATTAATGCTAAATTCATAAAAAAATAATTTTAAACACGTCCGTACAGGTTGGTAACTAGTACCTTTAATCAAACAGCGCAAATAGTCGGTATTCCGAGGCTTCACGCTTCACGGGTTAACAGAGAGTCGATCTATCGACGATTCACGCTCAAAGAATTAACACGCGTCATTTATCTTTGTAATTAAAGGTCCGTTTTATTATGTACTAACGACCCGCCCTCGCTTCGCTTCGGAAACTGTAATTTATCATTGATTTCTCCACTATTTAAGGGATGTTATTATACATATAAACTTTCCTCTTCAATCACTCTATCTATTAAAAAAACTGCATCAAAGTCCGGTGCGTAGTTTTACAGATTTAAGCATACATAGGGATATAGGGACAGAGAAAGCGACTTTGTTTTATACTGTGTAGTGATGATAAGCATCAACAGTTCGTCGTTTTTAATTGAACTTCAATTATGTTTACTCCATTCGAACAGCTAAAGAAAATTTGTTTGTTTTATGACATTTTTTCCAAATCATAAACTTTAAATGGCTCTCCTGTAGTCGCAAAAAAGTCGCATAAACCAAATAGCATTTTACCTCTCCATATGGGCTTAATTTGGACGGATGTGCGACCAGATCCGGGGGGTGCGTGGCCCTATTAGCAGATCGAACCAACGCGCACCAGACAACTCCCCAACTGACTACAGTCAGACTGTTATTTTTTTCTGTTTTTCCCCGATCGTGAGATCACCGGGTCCTTATCACTACAAAAACAAAGTCGCTTTCTCTTTCCCTATATACCTATGTATGCTTAAATCTTTAAAACTACGCAACGGATTTTGATGCGGTTTTTTTTGAATAGATAGAGTGATTGAAGAGGAAGGTTTATATATATAATAACATCCATTAAGTGGAGAAATCAACAATAAATTACAGTTTCCGAAGCGAAGCGAGGGCGGGTCGCTAGTCTATCTATATAACTCATACATTCAAGTTCTCACATGGATTCCTCTCGCACTTTCAAGCCGCACACTTAATCTTTCTTGTATCCATCCACACTCATCCTTTGCCGGGTGAGACTCCCGCTACTCTATGCTAATATATATTTATTCTTTTACTAGCTGACCCGGCAGACTTCGTAGTGCCTAAATCGATAAATAAAATACCTAGACTTTTGTATAAAATAAACTTAAAACAAACAAAAGGAATCCGTCCGACATCAAAGGAAAAACAAAATTGTTATTTTTGTTTAATTCCAAACATTTTCATATTTATCTACCTTTTAAACCTTCTCTGGACTTCCACAAATAATTTCAAGATCAAAATTAGTCCAATCGGTCCAGCCGTTCTTGAGTTTTAGCGAGACTAATGAACAGCAATTCATTTTTATATATAGACTAGCAGACCCGGCCACACGTTGCTGTGGCTAAGGTTTTTGTTTCTAAATAACACGTGGCCGGCTATGCTAACACCAAAAATTTAAAAAGTGGAAATAATTGAATTATACTGTATTTCGTTCACTACAAAATAAATTTAATTAATTTTATAGCGTCAACAACACGTGGTAATTATGCTGTTAAAATGTAGCTTATATGACACGTTCGTAGATTTACAATAGCAGCGCCATCTATTGATTACTTACTCAACCCAGTCGAAAGGTATCGACATCTGTTAGAATCATTTGGAGTTAACAGATAATTGTGACTGTCAAATAATAACAGACAAATAATTAGCAATAAATTAAAATTGCGACTATAATTTGAGATTTAAACTATCCTATCTCTCAAGTTGGATCGAGCTGCACATGGTGTGCGAATTTTATTATAATCGGTTAAGTGGTTTAGGAGTCCATTGAGGACAAACATTGTGACACGAGATTTATATATATTAAGATAGATTTTGGGAAAATAAAGTTTCTTACAGTTTCATTTTCAACTTTGGTTTTGTTTACAATACTATTTATGCTTTACATGTTCTTATGCTAGCCTTACTTATTCTTATTTTTACAGTCCGACTGTAAGGACGTACTATAAAAAAATATATGACGCAAAAACTCACGATTCGTCTTCCCCATCAAGTGTTTAAATTGACTAGCCCTGGTGATCGGTCTCTGAACTTCTTCCTTAGGTTCTCTACACTCACTGCGTTGTATTAATGGCAAGTTGTCGTTTGAACTATCGTGATCCGAACCTAGATCTGCCTTCGTATCTTCGACTGTTGAAACAAACAAAAAATATTAATATTACCGGTGGTAGGACGTCTTGTGAGTCCCGCGCGGGTAGGTACCACCACTCATAGTTTCACTATCCTTTGTGTTAACACTAAACTTAACATAACGGGTTAAATGACCCGTTTTAAGCTTTTGCATTGAAAATGCACAGATTATCTAATTGCTTTTGCACATTTGACTTCATCATAACTTTTACCAATTAATCTACAATTATTATACGACTTTGTGTTGTTTTGTTTATTTTGAATATACTTGTCGTGTACCGTTATGTACCCGCTTTGGTAGAAATAGGTACCAGTAAGTGTTGGTATGATTAGTGTTAATTTTTGAATTGCGTATTTTATGTATTCGTGTATATTTGTCTAGTTCTGCCGTGAAGCAGTAATGCGTTTCGGTTTGAAGGGTAGGGCAGCCGTTGTAACTATACTTGAGACCTTAGATATTCATTCTTGTTTTTTTTACTTGTCAGAGTATCACAATCGCAAAGAATCTAAGGAATAGTTTCCAACTCCACCATGCAGAATGACAGGAGATGTATATTGTCCTTTGGCAATTTCAAATCAAGTGCGCAATGGACACAAATATTTTTTTATTAATAATTTCAGATTTTGATTACTGGAAACTATTTAATGAAATTAATAATAAAAAAATGATTGTGTGGTTTTATGAAACCACGGTAGAAGTAAAACCTTTTTTTCACATTATAGACATTTAACTCTGAAAAACGACATTTACATTAAACACTGACAAAAACAAACGAAATAGCGTGGAGCACTGGCGCAAATGAGTAATAGTCTATAGGTACACTACGCGGTCAGCTGCTGCGAACTATAGGCGCCGCCATATTGGCCTTGGCTGCTCTGACGAGCGCCTTTCACTTTATCCCTACTCCGCGGCCGACCGTCACGCGACATGCAACACACAGACGAAAAACTTTGAGACGATAATAAGTCAGAAAAGTCAGAAAAAAATAAGTCAGTCAACATGATCATTCATGAACAGATTTAATGTACATATGTCACATTGCTAAGCTTCAAAGTGGATTCACTAGCAAATCTCTGCAAGGGTTTGTGTATATTTTAACAATCTGCCAATAGCACTCATTCCTAATTCAGTAGTTACCTTAATAGAGATAAAATCTGTCTTCTATAACATTTACCGTTAACGTCAGGTAAGACCTCAGCACAGATGTCGCCGCCGATGCTAAGCTCATCCATCTCACAAGGTTCAGTCTTAACAACTTCCACAACGACTTGAGAGCCACCATCCCCTAACGCATCTTCTAGAAGAGACTGACAGTCTGATGGAGGAAAGAAGTTTCTATAATGATTAATAATCTACTTATCTGCTTAGTGCTGTTTGTTTGCATCATTATCATTTATCATTTCCATACTATTGATTTATTATGTGTATGTAAGTATGTATATTGGTATATAAATCAGTTAGTTACATGATTCATATTATATGTCAACAGAATATATCTGTTTATTGTATGTATATATTTTCTAAAATAATGAATTGTCTATACTACATTGCAACATACCTACTATATTTTTATATTTTCCAGAATTTCTGTAAATTTAACGGTTGTATGGAAGAGATCGCTTTCAGTGATAAGACCGCCTATTGTACAAATGTATCTGCTTTTTGACTATTTTTTTAATGTATAAATACTATTAAGCAAAATTTTGCTTGAATATGAAATTAAAATAATTTATAGCCAAAGATTATGTGTGTGTGCGTGTGTGTGTATTATTATTAACTGTATTACAAATTTAAACACACATGATATAGTACATTGTGCACCAAGGGAGAAAAGTAGGACATTTCGTCCTGAGGATTTGATTTCCTACTTTTTTCCCGTGGTGCACATACTATTTTTTCTCCTACCAGGCCTAAAATTCGTGGAGTACCAAGCCGGGGTCCAGGGGCGAAGCCCGGTGGGGCACTTGCCAGTACCCAGGGAGAAAAAGTTACACTGTCTTCCCTGTTCAGCGCGAGGAAAACCGAACTTTCGGCATAGGTAGGAGAAAAATTAATATTGTGTAGTAATCCGTATTATGAAGAGGAGACTACGTTCCCTCACTAATACACTGCAGATACCAGTGATACCAGGAATGAAACATCTACATCCTTCATTACCTAGACTCGTTGAATTATACACCTTCGTTTGTAAGAAGGCTTCTTCGCAGTGGAGTACTTGCTGTCGGAAGGAGAAGGCATCCCGGATTCTCATGACGCATGTGGCGCAGACCAGCCTCTCAGATGGCTTTCCGTCCAGGCGAGACAGCTACAAGTAAACATATGATGTTTATTGTTATGTTCTTTCATTTGTAGAATAAAGTGAATTTTCTGTTCCAGGATTCAAATAAATTTCAGGAAACTAAACCATATCAGGTATATTAAAATTTAGATATGTTGGATTAGGTTTGTTGGTAAATTGTCCACAATTAACAAGAATAATATTTAAAAAATTTACAAATTTTCATAGCTTTCCATTAATTATATGTAGATACAATTTGAATTGCTCTGCATAATCTGTTTCCTAGTGTCACGGTAAAAATTTTAAAGTAATTAAAGAGTCAGATTAAAGAGTCAGATTAATTAATAAAGAATGCATGAAATTGAAATTTTAAGTTCTTATTTTTATATTTATCATTAAAAATAAAATTTATATGATGATTTATATCCTCTTAAAGGAGTTTCATAAAATTCTGTCCAAATTTTATAATTCCGTTTTTCTTTTGTTTTTCTCACTTGAATATATTAGAGAGCTTCTTCAAGCCGTTTACATGTATTTTAAAATGTTTTTTTGTCAATTGAAATCACATTTATTAAATTCAATTTCATTACCAACTATAAAATCATTTAATATTTTATAATGAAAAATCAAGTTTGTTGGAGAACTCAAATATGGTTTCAAAAGAGCCTAAGCTATGGGCAAGGGCTCAGATTTGCCCCTGGAATTGCTGACGTCCTAAAACATTGGGACTCACAACGAAACAGGCAGTATGCTTCTTGAGACAGCTTCTTGAGACAATCACATTTTTATTTCAAATATTCGCAAGCTTTGTATTTATTTTATTTGTACCAACCTGTACTATGGTCATACAATACAAATAATAAATCGAGCTAATGCGAACTTATTTATGGGCAACAAGCACAAATGGGTTTTTATAAACAAGCAGGTTCTGTCGTTGAAACTAAAACTTGTTTCAGAACTTACTAAGAGGCCGAAGCAGTCCATCATCATGTCAGAATAAACTTCTTTCTTCCCATTATTTTCGTATTCTATATTCAGAACACGACATTTCTTTATAGAACCACAACATCGACACAAACCCGGATCAAATATTGGACCTTTGCCCTTCGGGATGCTCATTTTGAGGCTTTTTAGGCTTATTAGTCAATGCTTAAACTACATTTTACAATAAATTAAAGAGGAATAATACTATATGTTATATTAAAAGTATTTTTCTCAATTAAAAATACCAACACGCTTTCTAATGCAATCACATTTTAATAATATTTATTTAAACAACTTCTTTTAATTTTTTCGGTCAGCGGTATACAGACCTTACAGCCAGTCTCAACACACATTTATTGGTCATTTTACGAAATTCTAATATTAAACAATTGCATTAAATAATTGGAAATGGGTTTAAAATGTAAGGATTCACAAGATTACGTATAACGTGTAAAATATTTTATATGATGTCGTCGTGGCGTAAAAGACGCCCGGTGTATTCGTATCGATCGATGCAACGGTTTTCGAATCCTGCAGGCGTGTACTAATTTTTCCAATGAAATACGTACTTAACAATTGTTCACGGTTGACTTCCACGCTGAAGGATAGCATCGTGTAATAAAAATCAAACCCGTAAAATTATAAGTTGCGTAATTACTGGTGGTAGGACGTCTTGTGATTCTGCACGAGTAGGTACCAACACCCTGCTTATTTCTGCCGTGAAGCAGTAATGCGTTTGGGTTTGAAAGGTGGGGCAGCCGTTGAACTGATAAACCGAAACCTTACAACTCGTATCTCGAGGTGGCTGGCGGCAGTTAAGTTATCGATATATATGGGCTCCGGTAACTACTTAACACCAGGTGGACCGTCAGCTCCCGCCCATTTAAGCTATAAAAAAGATGTTTACGAAGGTGAATTATTTTTAAATAATTAATGAAGCACCAAAATTAATCAATTGCAATTGTTTTTCTAATATTTCACTATAGTGGACACAAAGTAACTTCAGCACGTTTTCTGTTACAATTTGTTAAACGGTAGTAAGAACATTTAATTACTTAGCAACCTTATTTTTAATTAATCTCTAGGTTCTAGGTAGTACCTACTCATTCGTGTCCTCGAACTTTAGTGTCTGCTGTAATTTTCCTGCGTCCTACTAGTCATCTTTAAATGCGTTGTACAGTGTGTTTATAAGCCATCCTTCTCCAGACATAGTTTTCTTTTTTAGGATGGAGCTTTTGCTGTGATCCCAAGAGCTTAGCCAGAGAGGAAGGGATTTGCTAACAGATGCTCGTGCGGCTCCGAAGGAAGAATGACAAGACAAGGGCAGATACTGCGCTATCAAATCTAAAGCCAGATCGAAATAGCGACGTAAGAGCATTCGGCAAGAAATTCAGCATCACATGCAATATTTCAACAACGCCTATTCTCGGAGAGAAACGTATTGTGTGCTCACACAATTCGTGCCGTAAGACAGCACTAGCGTCAGTACTGCAAAAAAAATACACGACTGTTTTATTTGAATAAGGCTCACAAAACATTACTTCAGCACTTCTTTTTCAATTAACATTTTAAACTATTGCATAGCTTTTATCGCGAGTTTGAGCGCGGCGACCGAATCAAGAAATTCCGTAACGAAAATAAAACCTAACACCTGCCACTCCGCCTACCATGTAGCTCGCGTTCAACACATTCACACGTTGCGCTTGTGTAGTGTTTGTGAGTAAGCGCGCGGCGTGACGTCGCACTGCATGCGCATCATGAAAAGTGTTCCCATCTCTCTCTCTCTCTCTCTCTCGCAGTCTAGCTTATGAGTGTGAAGGGGACAGTTAATGTTTTGCTTTTATTAATGTTTATAAATATAGCGTGGTCTTATTTTATTATTGTTTTAATATTAAATTATTATTGTCTAATTATAATTGTATAAGTTGATAAAAAATGCTATATATTAGCTTTATCGCGGCAGTCCCAGAGTGCCACACGTGTTTTTTTATTGCCCTTGTAAGCAGACGAGCATAGTTGTGTCCAGTGTGCTTAGTGCGAGTTTTGTAACGCTCTCGATAGCGAGCCAGTTTGCTCAAATTTGTATGCAATTGGAACAGCGCCCCTAGCGGCAAACGTACCCGGTGTTATTTTGTGAGTGCGAGTTCATATTAACGTTGTGATCTCGTAACCGAGTAATTTTATCGAAATGAGTACCACGAATGACATTTGTGCGAGTGCGTGTTACANAACACGCACTCGCACAAATGTCATTCGTGGTACTCATTTCGGTAAAATTACTCGGTTACGAGATCACAACGTTAATATGAACTCGCACTCACAAAATAACACCGGGTACGTTTGCCGCTAGGGGCGCTGTTCCAATTGCATACAAATTTGAGCAAACTGGCTCGCTATCGAGAGCGTTACAAAACTCGCACTAAGCACACAGCACGTTTTCTGTTACAATTTGTTAAACGGTAGTAAGAACATTTAATTACTTAGCAACCTTATTTTTAATTAATCTCTTAATTAGGTTCTAGGTAGTACCTACCCATTCGTGTCCTCGAACTTTATTGTCTGCTGTGATTTTCCTGCGTCCTACTAGTCATCTTTAAATGCGTTGTACAGTGTGTTTATAAGCCATCCTTCTCCAGACATAGTTTTCTTTTTTAGGATGGAGCTTTTGCTGTGATCCCAAGAGCTTAGCCAGAGAGGAAGGGATTTGCTAACAGATGCTCGTGCGGCTCCGAAGGAAGAATGACAAGACAAGGTCAGGTACTGCGCTATCAAATCTAAAGCCAGATCGAAATAGCGACGTAAGAGCATCCGGCAAGAAATTCAGCATCACATGCAATATTTCAACAACGCCTATTCTCGGAGAGAAACGTATTGTGTGCTCACACAATTCGTGCCGTAAGACAGCACTAGCGTCAGTACCGCAAAAAATATACACGACTGTTTTATTTGAATAAGGCTCACAAAACATTACTTCAGCACCTCTTTTTTAATTAACATTTTAAACTATTGCATAGCTTTTATCGCGAGTTTGAGCGCGGCGACCGAATCAAGAAATTCCGTAACGAAAATAAAACCTAACACCTGCCACTCCGCCTACCATGTAGCTCGCGTTCAACACATTCACACGTTGCGCTTGTGTAATGTTTATGAAAAAGTTCGCGGCGTGACGTCGCACTGCATGCGCATCATGAAAAGTCTGCCCATCTCTCTCTCTCTCGTGCGGTCTAGCTTATAAGTGTGAAGGGAACAGTTAATGTTTTGCTTTTATTAATGTTTATAAATATAGCGTGGTTTTATTTTATTATTGTTTTAATATTAAATTATTATTGTCTAATTATAATTGTATAAGTTGATAAAAATGCTATATATTAGCTTTATCGCGGCAGTCCCAGAGTGCCACACGTGTTTTTTTATTGCCCTTGTAAGCAGACGAGCATAGTTGTGTCCAGTTCACCTGATGGTGAGTGCTTACCGTCGCTCGTGGACATACCAGGAATGCCAGGGACAGAGCCAAACCATTGCCTATCTATATGTCTCTGCGGGAAACGACTGAACTGACTTGTTGATCTGACTGTTTTGCTTTAAATCACTTGTGCTTGTTTATGTAAATTAATTAATTAAAAGGATATAACTTAAACTGCTTGTTTAGCAAATTTGTAATGGATGTAACAGTGCGATCAGGATTCAGACAGACTCCAGATACAGATTAACATCTCTTGTACCTACCCGTGCGGACTCACGAGAGTTTCTACCACCAGTAAAAACCGGAACGACTTTTTTTGGAAGTTTGGTGGTCGCCGGGGCGGCGCCTCTGCCGCTCCGCCCACATGCATACCCCCAAAAACTCACGAGGAGTAACAAATAGGGATGTACGCGTTATATAAGGTTTTTTTTCTCGATAAGCCATTTTTTAAATCATCCCCTTTTTTTAAGCAAAAATTTGTTCCTAATCCCAACATCAGGATCCATCCAGGATCATTCCTAATACCATCCCGACGACAGAATTTTTTGAAATAAGAACAAAAACCAATTTACTTTTTCAGAGATCATAATTTATTACATTTTATATATGTACATACAGGTAGTTTTAAACACCTCACCCAGTTTTTAAACTATTCTCTAGGAAGCCGTTTAGGTATGTGAGGACATTGAACACTATCCACAACGGCTGACACATGCTTAAAGAGAAAACGTTTGCATGGATGACATCTCATTATTATTTGAAGTCAACAACGAACATTTTTAATAGTCAATCACCTCATCGTCTCAAGCATCAGGGTCTCATATGTTGGGACATTTCAAAGACGATCTCACTGAACAACCTCACGCACTACCAAAGAGGGATCAACGCGTTCCACCCACACCGTCACGATCCATATACCAGATTCACAGAAACTAGCCGAAAGGGACCACTCAAACTAGACCTGTTATTGTGTCTCAAAGTAATTTGGTTTAGTTTGATTATAATCGGAACTTCGGTTAACTGCAAGTAGCAATATGATACGCTGAGCCCTCAATCCAAAGATTCATCGACATTTTAGGCGATAGCTATAGAGATCCTTCTTCTGAGTCGGTCTCTTCGACTCTGAAGGTCGTGTCTAATCTGAAATGTGGACCACTCGATGCACAATGCTTGCCCACGTCTTCCTGTCCTCGGCGGTCTTTATAGCCTCGGTTATTGACGGGCCGGTGAGCGCCTTAACCAGATCAGACCAGCGGGTAGGTGAGCGTCCGCGTGATCTTCTCCCGTCAACCTGACCAAGTACCATCAGCTTGTCTAAGTTATCGGGGCCTCTACGAGCGATGTGGCCGAAAGTATTTGAGAATACGTTGGAAGCAGATAGCGGATAGCCTTGTGGCAGCACCGGGCTCCTTCAGGATGAATAGGTTGGTCCGGCGTGCTGTCCATGGTATTCGCAGCATCCGGATATAGAGATCCACATCCCTTGATTTTCTTAAATCCCTTATACCCGGCATCCATTACTCGTGGTAACCGTTCTCTATGTCCACGTCCTGATGCTGCCTTTTGACGTGGTTCTTCAGATTGACGTTCTGCGTGAAGGTCGCGTTGCATATCGAACATCGAAACTTCTTCTCCGTACTATGGGACTGCATGTGTACCTTCAGACCTCTCAACCTGGGGTAACTCTTCCCGCAGTACTCGCACCTAAAGTTCCTCTCGCCCGTGTGTGTCGCCATGTGCTCTTTGAGACGGGACGGCAAATAAAAACGCTTCTCGCACAAATCGCACTGATGCTTGAATATCTTCAGATGGTACCTCCGATTGTGTTCCCTCAACGATTTCCGACTAACGTACGCCCTGTCGCAGTACTCACAGGGGAACACTCGGTGCTCACCGTGAGCCTCCATCATGTGCCTGTACCGAATCGAATAGGAGAAGAACACTTGATCGCACTTGCTGCACTGGAAGACCGGCTCCTTCTTGTGTATCTTCGTCTCGTGCAAATACCGGCTGTGTTTCGATTTGAATACCTTCCCGCAGTGACAGGGGAAGCTCTCGTCGATACGCCGATGCGATTTCTGGTGTAGCACTAACATACGTTCCTCGAAGTAATGCGCTCCGCACACGTCGCATATGCAATTGCCGAAATGCTCGGCCATGTGCTTCTTCAGGGCGTGGAAGAAGCTAAAGGACGCGTCACATTCAGTGCACCGCAAATTCGTCACTGTCAAACGGAACTGTACGAAATCGCATTTTGTATCGTCAAAGCACATCGAGTGGGCATCGACTAAATGAGTTTTCAACGATTCCACGTTGTCTATGGTCTTTTGGCATAATCTACAGTCTACTCTGTACACGTCCAGTAATATCAGCTTCTTGTTTATGGCCAGAGTCTTGAATGAGGTCGGGTCGTGGGTCAGCGTGTGCTCCCGGAGTTTGTCGGGATCGGTGTAAACGTTCCTACAGTATATACAGAAGTAGTCGCTGAACGAAGTATCGAATGGGCAAACGAATGAATTTTCGACAATCGTTATCGTGTTTAAATACGATTTCGTTTCTGAACCGGTTCTCGATTTTGATGCTACTTTTTTACCTGTAAAATAAATTGTAAGCTATTGTCATTGACTTCTAATGAATGAATCGGCGGTGTAGCAGTTAGCGACTCTGAGTGTTGTGCCGAGGGTCGTGGTTTCGATTCTCGCGTCGAGCAAACATTCGTGTTACGAACAGGTTTGTTTGCTCTTCGTCTGGGTTATTATTATCTATAAATATGTATAAGTTTAAACTTAAATAAAATATAGTTTTTGCGAGTGATATGTGCGATATTTTATCTAATAATGTCTCCCGCTGCTTGGACGAACTATTAAACAACCCAATGTGCTTCGTACCCGTATACAAATTCATTAAAAGTGATTTCAATATAAATAATGTGAAGTGAAGTGATGAAGAAACAGAAATACTGATTTGGCTTAAAGAACTTTTTTCCAAGTCAGTAAACATTATTTTAAAAAAAATATGTGTGCGTGATTTGTTCCCAGTTATTTATTTATTACTATTTTCTAAATAAATAAATAAATCGTCAATCATAACTGAAGTATTTCGAAAGAAAAATCTTAAATGAAGTAGTTATCAATTTCATTCTTACCAATTTCCGGAAAAACGTAATATTTCTTATCTATTAAATGTCTTAAATTTTTTTCCTTGATACCATCACAATCACCATCTAGAGATTCCCTATTATGTTTCTTTCTTGTTTTCAACTTTTCCTTTTTCTTTTTGCGCGTTTTCTTGCGCAAGTTTATTAGTGGCTCGCTTGACAGGCTACCTGAATCTGAAAAAAAAAACAGAATGTTTTGTATTTCTATTATAACCCCACTCCACAAGGAGCACTTTTTTTTTTTTTTTTATTGCTTAGATGGGTGGACGAGCTCACAGTCCACCTGGTGTCAAGTGGTTACTGGAGACCACGTAAATGCGCCATCCACCTTGAGATATCAGTTCTAAGGTCTCAGTATAGTTACAACGGCTGCCCCAACCCTTCAAACCGAAACGCATTACTGCTTCACGGCAGAAATAGGCAAGGCGGTGGTGCCTACCCGTCCGGACACACAAGAGGTCCTACCACCAGTAATTACGCAAATTATAATTTTGCGGGTTTGATTTTTATTACACGATGTTATTCCTTCACCGTGGAAGTCAATCGTGAACATTTGTTAAGTACGTATTTCATTAGAAAAATTGGTACCCGCCTGCGGGATTCGAACATCGGTGCATCGCTAGATACGAATGCACCGGACGTCTTATCCTTTAGGCCACGACGACAGCACAGCAATCATTTGTTTTAATTTGAAATTCTTTCGAGTTCCACTTCTGTGGGTAGCGGAATTCTGTTAACCTTTTTAGTGCTGAGCTTATTTTCACATATTTTGCAGAAAATACTTAAGGGATTTTTTCTAAAAATAAGTACCTCACATAAAACTTTCAACTTCAAAAAAATTACAAAAATCAATGCTAAATTCACAGCTAAATAATTTAATGGTTATTTATAAATGTTATTGGCTTATTATAAACGCTATATGTGCGCGCGCTAAGACACGTGCGTACAGATCTACACCTAATACCTATAATCAAACTGCATAAATATTCGGTACAAGCGGCACGCTCCGGCTCTGCTCGGGACTTTAACAAAAATTTCAACGATATTGAACGTTATTTTATATTTTTAATTAAAATAACATTTATCGCGGCATAACTATAATAGTTAGACATATGCTGCCGCAACATTTCTTGTAAACAATAATGTGTTCTACAAAGTCGTAGTACATTATTTTATTCTATCATCAATAGTTTTCGCAGAGCACGCAATGTAAAGAATATTTTAGGTAATTTTTTTACACTTTTGGTTACATTATTGGAGTTTTAGTAAGGATCCCTATTTTTTTTTCAAAATATGTAGTTTATAGTCTATGTTACTCGGGAATAGTGTAGCTTTCAAGCATTGAAAGAATTTTTCAAATCGGTTCAGTAGTTTCGGAGCCTATTCAATACAAACAAACAAACAAATCTTTCCTCTTTATAATATTAAGTATAGATTCCGACGATCCGTACATTATAGGTCGTCCTTACGGATCAATCAGATCCAATAACATTTCCATTGGACGGCTTCAGCTCTAACACTAGGAGCAGGCTTAGGGACCCCGGTAACCGTACTCGTCGAACTCGACTAAGAGTTGGACATGCAACCCCTAACCCATGCATCAGCTCGCGGAGTGTCTCGCCGGATCTTCTCAGCGGGTCGCGATTCCGATCCGGTGGTAGATTCATTTGCGAAGCAGTTGCTATTGAGTTGTTAGGTTTAAAATATGTTTATAGGCATTAATACAGCGTCGATCGATCGACGGTTCGCGCTTAAAGGGTGTAAATACTTTTAAACGGATCTATTTCTTTATGTGCTTTATCATATCTAGAAATGTTAAAAAAAAGTGTGCCACGAAAAAAAAACTTGGAGAGTCGCTGTATTAAATTTTGTGTAGTAACCATTTTTTAAGCAATGGCTTCAAAACTCAGTGTACCATGAATAAAATTATAAAACTACTCACAATAAATTTTTTTTTACAAAATGTCCAAAGAACCTTTGTTTTTGATTAATCGCTTTATATAGAAAAGTTCAGTGGAAAGAAACATTGCGAGGCCACTTGTGGGCCATGAGTTCGTTCGTCAAAACAAAAATCAATTTAAACGCCGGTAGGTATGTGCAGATTGGTCAATTGCGAAGATTTTGGCGCCAAAAATAATTTTATAGTTAAATGTAGTTTTGCACTAAGGGCTCAAACTTCATACAGCCAAAGCTAAACAATAAATTCAATTATTTATTTCATAGATACATAAAAAAATATATTATTTCTGAACGGCGACCACGAATAACTGCAAGTGTTCGAAACGTTGGAAATAAGAAAATTTAAATAACAAATGCGCGATTGAACAGTGACAATACTTTTTAATTAGGAACACAATAAGATTAAGTGTTGTCAATTTTAGGTAAATTGCGTTTCTTATTCTGAATCGGCAACCTCATTTCTGAAGGTCGTATCTGGTTTGAGGACCCTCATCTCTCGCTGCACAGTTCCTCTTCACGTGTCGGCAGTCTCATGGGACCATCATCCAACACCACATCCGAAATGCCTCGATATTGGATCTATTTCTCTTCAGTATCGGGATTCAATCGCATAGAGAAATAATGTTTACAGAATGTATATGTAAAATAAATAATAGTTTGAAAAAAAAAAAAAATACGCTTTTATAGAAAATAGAATTTTTATAGAAAAGCTTTTCAGGATATTATCAAAATAACCCTTCTACTCATATCCGTTCATAAAATATTTATAACTACTGATACCAAGCACCCCACGCTTTTTTTTACAATAAAAGCGCTTTTTTTTTAGTTTTTTTTAAACTATTATTTATTTTTCATTTTTTAGTTGAATTTCAATTTTTTCAATAATTTTTTTTAATATTGAGTTGTCATCGGACCTTAATAAGTATACAAAGTTTCGAGTTAATCCGACGTTTTGAAAGGAGTCAAAATCATGTTCAAAGATTCCGTTACAAACATACATACGTCTGAAGCTAATAAAAGCGTATTAAGAAGCAATGTCTTACCGTTACCTGCGTCATCAATGTAATGGTTGGTGTCATTTTGGACATCTTCAAGCCGTGTCGCATTATTGTCTTCCGCTTCCTGTTTTATATTCGTTTCGCTTTTAATGTCGAACCTTTCATTTTCTGTAATTAATATCGACATAGTAATTAGAAATTCTGACGAAGCCGTGTTGCCGATAATAATATGTAGGTACTTTTAGGTTATTAAAATAATATTTTGTGTAAATGTTTGGAAATAAACTTATGATTTGGATTAGAAATAAACCACTTAAAATAAAAAAATAAAAAAAAACTTTACACAAATATTTGTGAGATTTGAGACATCTTCAGTCCATTTTATTTTCTACTAGCTGACCCGGCAGACTTCGCCCCAATCGATAAATAAAAGACCTAAACTTTTGTATAAAATAAACTTAAAACAAACAAAATGAGTCCGTCCGAAGGAGGACACATCAGAGGAAAAACAAAATTGTTATTTTTATTTTATTCCGAACATTTTCATATTTATTTTAAACCTTCTCTGGACTTCCACAAATCATTCAAGACCAAAATTAGCCAAATCGGTCGAGCCGTTCTCGAGTTTTATAGCGAGACTAACGAACAGAAATTCATTTTTATATACAGAAGAAGAAGAAGAAGAAGAAGAAGAAGAAGAAGAAGAAAAAGAAGAAGAAGAAGAAGAAGAAGAAGATAGATATCAAGAGGTAAAAGGCTATTTGGTTTAAGCTACGTTTCGCTTAACACGCGACTATTATCTTTGTAATTAAAGGTCCGTTTTATTTGTTATCAGCATCAACAGTTCGACGTTTTTAATTGAACTTCGATTAAGTTTACCCCATTTAAATAGCCGAAGAAATTTTTTCGATATGATATTTTTTTCAAAATTTTAAATTTTGAATGGCTCTCTTGTAAATTAGCAAAAATGTCGCTTACACCAAATAACCTTTTACCCTTCGGTATATAAATTGTGCTGGCTGATGTTAGCTTATCATGTATTAGTAAGATTGCAATGTATAATAACTAAAACCCGTACGCTTCTTTATTAGCGTGAACTTTTTTTTTCCCCTACCTATGCTGATAGCCTTGAGAGGCTATTTCAGTTTCGCCCTAACATGTAGGTGAGCTCACGGGGCTCAAACCGGAGTGTTGCTAGCACTGGCCCTAGCAAGAGCCGTGCTTCGCAGAATCTACCACCGGATCGGAAACGCGACCCACTGAGAAGATCCGGCGAGAAACTCAGTGGGCTGTGTTAATTCGGGCTATGGGTTAATTCGCTCGTCGAGCCGGAGCGGGACCTGCATACAACCTTGCAACTTATACCAGATATACAAACGAAATCCTCCAATATATTTTTCGCTTTCGAAGCACCTCATTAAAATGAAAATCTGCCACTTGCTATGTTTCAACATGTTTTTTTTTTCAGTTTTTAAACATAATTTGGTTGAGTTTTTTCTAATCTTTGATTTTCTATCTACAATATAAATTCACTAGCTTTTGCCCGCGACTTCGTCTGCGTGGAATAGTTTACAAATAATGCTTTATTTTAGAACAAATTTGATTAGCATAAAAAACGTTATAGTGAGCCAACCTTAACATATAGACATATGCGGTCGCAGACTTTTCTTTAGATCTTTTAAAGAGGAACAATTCTGTCATACATTATTTTAGCGAAACTTTAATCGTTTTTGCAGCGCACGCAGCGGAAGCTCTCAAAAGGAAAAAATAGCCCCGATTTTGAAACATTATTTATTGGTACTCTGCTTGTATCGGTCTTAGTGTGATGTTATAGCCTTCCTTGATAAATGGGCTATATAACACTAAAAGGATTTTTGAAAACGGGACCAGTAGTTCCTGAGATTAGCGCGTTCAAACAAACAAACTCTTCAGCTTTATAATATTATAAGTATTATCTTTCTTGCTTCGCAGCTGTAATAGCTGGGTAGAACATCCAGAGATATTGTATTTCACACACTGGGAGTTACACATGTACAAAGTTCTTTTACCTGCTTCGTATGCAACCTGGAGTAGGGTCTGCTCACAGATCAGCACTTGCTTCCGGAATGCGGTCGCGTCACGAAGCCTTGTAACACACGTGGCACATATGAGCCTCTCAGCTTGCGCTCTGTCAAGGTGTGATAACTACAAGAGAATATGTTTCTATGTTTATATCGCACATACGGTGCTATAAAGGCACTTAAGCAATTTTTGTTAACACTGAACTGATTACGAGAAAATACATTTTTTAATAGTTATTAGTGAGTTACGAGCGTGATGTTTGCTTTTATTGATGAAGTTTAAAATTGTAGTTTAAATATTACTAGATGATGACCAAGCTTTTGTTTGTTTTTTTTTTGATAACACCATATTGTTGTCTTTAAAGCGGTTAGTTGCCCTCAATTAAGAAAAATAGTATTATTATTTGCCAATAGATGTCGTGAAGAGCCATAAAGTTGATTATTGAAAACATGAATAAAACAACATTTTCTGAAAATAAATCGTAGCTAGATCGATTTATCGCCCCCGAAATCTTCTGTATACTAAATATTACGAAAATCGTTGGAGCCGTTTCCGAGATTCAGATTATATATATATATACAAGTATTGCTCATTTAAAGGTATAAGATCGTTTTATTTCTATAGCCTAGCAGAACTACATAAGACGTTAAATTTTCCAATGTTTCTCCTGAAAAATTACATAATTTGCATAAGCGACGTTATTGCACAGTATGTGCGATATCTCTCACACTATTTATTAATTGCATAGATTGGTGAGTGAGCTTAAAGTTTATACGTAACTAGGGACAATGTGAATGCCACCATCCACCTTCAAAGATGAGATGAAAGTCTCAATTGTATCCGGTCTTCTTTCAGACCAGAACACACGGCTGCTTGCCAGCCAAAATACGTAAGATGGTGGTACCTAATCCTCCAGACCTACAATATAGTTGCACGTAATTACAAACGTTTATAATATTGACAGGTCTTATTTTTTTTATACAATGTTATCCTGGATTGTGGAAATCTATAGTGTCTTGTGAACCTGCACAGAAAGATACTGCCTTATTCTCTAACAAAGCAGCAATTTGTTCAGATTTGAAGGGTGAGACAGTACAGTTTTACTATTTAGTATGAGACTTGGTCATCATGCTTCAAGATGGCAGTAGCGGCATTCATTTTGTGTTGTCGACAGGCTAGCAGCAGTAACCACCAGGTTGGCTATGTGTTTGTTCATCCTGAGATATTCTTTTTTAATTTATACTTTTTTGTTGTTTAATAGTCTTATACATTTATACAAGTTTATTTATTTGTAAATATCTTATTTGGATGTTAAAAAAGACATTTACTTTACAAGTCCTTAAGACTGAAAATTCAATTTATTTGTAGATTTGATATAGTAGATTGTGGAACTTAGGTCTGTTATCTCCATCCACTATCCTCTATTCTGCGTATATCGTTGCTCTACTTTATAACTAGATATCCTACACTGTTTCAGTGTCCGTTATCGGTTCTCTGACAAACTTAACCGGCCTATTTCCACATCAGATTGCTTATGCGTTGAGCTAGGCCGGTACTTTCATTCTCTGGCGAATGACTTCATTCCAGATACGATCCCCTCTTTCCATAGCTCGGAAACCGTCTATATACACGCATTATGGATAGAAGTGAATGTTTTATTAATTACCAAAAGCCCAAAGCAGTCGAAGAACATATCCGAATAAATTTCTTTTTCTCCACAAAATTCATACTCCTCATTCAAGACGCGACATTTTTTAATAGATCCACAGCACCGGCACAAACCCGGGTCTACAATTGGCCCCTTGACGCTTGGAACTGCCATCACAATTTGGGTCAGCAACAAAAAAATATTTACAAATATCTAACAATAAATATTTTTCAACGGAATTTCGCATTTTCGGAATATTTTGACGTATGCAATGAACTGTCATTTTGACATTCTTTCTACTCAGAGTTAGAATAGTTCATAGAGGAGTTTTTGGACGAAACGCAAGGACCGATGTTGTGTAAAATGTTGATTTTTATTAATTTAGTGTTTCCTCGGGTTTAAACGTCCATTGCTTGTGGCCTATAAACCATTTAGTATCTGTAAAAGTATACAAGGGTGGAACAATGAAACAAAGCCGCTTTACTTTAGCCTTGGGTAGTTCGTGAACGTTTTAGGTGGGGAGAGCGCGCTATTAGGTTAACTATGCGAACTAGTTCGCCAAAATATCGTTTTTAATAAATAAAATAATCTTAGTAAAATATTTTTATATTTTTCTATCATGGTGTGACACTATACGGCTAACCAACTGATTTATCTTTTTAGTGTACCGCTCTTACCAGTGTCAAAGTTATATAATTATAATAATCTATGGTTAAAGTTTTATTGATTTACAATTCATGACTCTCACATCAACTTTCTACGTGAAACAGATTTCTTTATTTCAATGATAATTTAGCAGAACCCATGGACACAATCGATACTGTGAAGATATTACCTAAACAACACACAATATTCGTAGATAGAATGAGCAACATAAACCTTATTAAAGTACTTTTAGATAATATTAGGGATTAAAGGTTTGAAATGGAAATGTTACCAAATAAGCGTCTAAAAATTCCTTCCGAGACATAAAAATAGTAAGAACTTGATCATAAAAAAATGTTCATACAAACCAAAGTCAGAAAGTTTAAAGCGGTGCTAAAAAATATGCATCCATCTACTGATTCAGAGTATATGAAAGAAGCCTGTAACACCATGACAATTAATGTACAAATATTTTGAATGTTAAACGCAGTAGGTATCCATGACCATGGTGGACTTAGTTGCTTTCTTTATTTAGTCAGTCCAGCAGGTCGGTGGTCGGCCGCGTGACTCTTGCCTTCCATCTGGCCTAAAACCACAACTCACTTGATATTTTATAATCCTCCAAAAAAAAAAAAAGAATGAAGATAATAAACATTTTAATTTTTTATTACAATGGGACATAAGCTTATAGCGTGTGGAGATGAAAGTTAGTGTGGTACCTTATCAGTATAGACCATATAGGTTCTGTCCAATGAATATCGTTTAAGTTAACGTTTAATTATTTTTTTAAAACCTTTTATATATTTTTCTCCCTTCTTTTTGACCCCATCACCTGTCATTCGTTCTTCTCTTTTTCGACTTCCTCCTAATAGGTTGAAGTCTTTCTACCCATGGTAACCGCCTTGGTGTGGATGTGGTAATGTCCTTTTTAGTCATCACAAGCAGAAGGAAGAACAATAAAACTCTCTTGCATTAATCTTTTAAAATTAAATGTCTGCTCAACTTGTGACCTGCCGACATTTCGGCCGACTGGCAAAAGGAAGGTTCCAGACTTGTTAATATTTTTGTATAACAAAAGGCGTCAGTGATTTAAGCATGAAGTGTACCTTCAGTTTGAATCTCCCATCATCTGACGAGTTTCGAGTTTAGAGCTTACACGTTTGTGACGCCGCCTCTTTGGGAACCAATTAATCCTCCTTGAAGGCATAGATTTTTTTTAAGAACGTAATTTTGAATTTGGAACCCACCCACGTCCCATTTTTTTTCCATTCCATTTTTTTATGCGCAACATGTAAAATGAATTTAAAATTAAACAATGAAACGCGCTTTGTGCCACTACAAGCTATTGCATTGTCACTGGAACCTTCTTTAATATTGTAAAGTGCTCGCTTTCCGTTCGCCGCTGAGAACATCAGGTGAGTGAGTATTGTATTTTCTGATCGACGCTGTGTTTTCTCATCTTCGTCGCGCCGCCAAAGTATCCCTATCGCCTTCGTCCCGCAACGCATAATTTAAGCTATTTTTCGACCGCGCAAACGGTGTAGCTATCTAGGCTAATCAACCACAGGTCGGTATCGTATGCATCGGACGCATCGCATTTAACGGATCGTAGTATTCTTTGTATAGAAAGTCATACAAGTGCGTCCACTGATCGGCATTGTACGGATCGCACATCGGCAGTGCCGTCACCGATGCTCCCAGCCGTATAGTAACCGGCAAACATCGTGAGCAAATGACCTTGACTGCGCAGAACCGAATTTTAGATCACTTTGGTGGTGAGGGTGAGGCGCGACGGCAGGGGAAATCGTATCGAGCGCGTTATTGGTAGATCAGTCGAACCTTGCGTCCCGCACCGCGCCTTCGTTCCGCTTGCTCCCAAAAGTACGCTTGCGTACAGTGAAAAGTCTATCGTTACTAATCGTTAAGTTATATTTTGTTATAATTGCTTGTTGACTTTGTTGCCATTGCTATTTGTTGAGTGTTTGTTGATTTTTTATAAAAAATACACTATGCCGCGACAAACTGGTGTAGTATTCAAAAGAAAGGGTAGAAAAATTGTGTACGACGTATATTGCTTCATTATAAAACAGGGGAAGAATGATATTATGGAAAAAGTAAAACAGACTTCGGAAGCAACAAAAACATCAGTGA